TAGCGGAATAGCAATTAATATTCGATGATAATATCAAATTCGATTACTTATGTATGGTGTGAATCTTTATTATTACCACAGGCATCTTGAAATAGGTAAAACAAAGGACGAATTTATATAATTTCTATGTTCACTGAAACTAACATATACGCATAAACTTTCATCTTGAGAATTATAGATTGAACTATCGAAGCTGCATAAAATACTTGAATACCCAATTTCACCGAGGAATGTTCCCATATAGGCCAGTCTTCTTACAACAAAGGAACGAATTATGGCAAGCAAAGCTTCGAAGGGAATAAATAAATATCAAGAGAAACGAAATACTTCTAAGGTATCGAAATACGTTAATTCTCAGTCAACTTCTAGAATTCAAATCATGCGTCTACACGCTTATCACTTTCCCATAGAGACGGCCACAAGGTTGACGCTTACTGTCGAATCCATTTATTCCAACAGCAGAACGATCGCCGCGATTCCCTGAATTCTAATGCAAACCGTATACACACGCTGGTCGATCGGGGTTACATAAAATCGTTGTCCCCTTATCAGAGCAATCTGATGTCATTCCGAGAAGATGCGACTTCCTCCATCGAGCCGGACCTTTCTTTCTTGGTCTCTCGCCTTCTCGCTCTCCCTTTCTCCGGCTGTTACTTCGCGATCTTCCCACAAGCGGGGCCACGTTCGCGGCTACTTTGTCGCGATGCATCCGTGTCTTGCCTTCTTAAGCGGGGCCCTCCGCGGAAATAGCGAGCTCGCGATCGTCCTTTAAGGATTCAGCGTGCATTGCGTAACTCTTGGAACGTGGTTCAGTTCTTCTTCTTATTTTTCCTTATATATGTTTCCTTAAAGGATTGCATTATTACCCCGTGATTTATTTACCCTTGCTACTCGTTTATCGCTCTACGAATATCGTACGTTTACGTTTCGTCCAAAAATATTTTGCAGAAGTCTTCAATTTATTTAATTTTCTGATATGTTATTCTTATTATATTTCGTTTCGTGGTTTGTTCGCAGGGCAGAGAAAGAGAAGAGGAACGTATAAGAATCGAAGCTGGAGGGATGATCTGGTGAGGGGATGAAATGTAAGAGACACACAGATTCGTTCGTTTTAATGTATCATTATTAATCGTTTGCAGTCACTCGCGTGACATCATCATATTGACAATTCGTTTTCTATGTACACGTTGGCGACAATAATAATAAAATAATTAATAATTAATAATAATTAATAATAATATTAATAATAATAAAAATAGTAATAATCGCAAAAATTGTGATCGTGATCAATTGTACAATTTCCTGCTATAAATATACACAAATCCGCAACGTGTATGTACGCTTCTATATATGCATATATATAGATAACGTTAATCATTATTTTTTTTTTTTTCTTTTTACACAGGTGACACAGAATTACGGACATGTTAGGAAACTTTACACGGTATATATAACATGTTTCCTTCTTTCCTCGCAAACGTATCGATACATCACGTTGAACGAAGAAAAAGAGAAACAGGTAAAACTCTATTCCATTTTCATTCCAAGCAACTGAACCGAGTGGAAAGAGAGGAAATGTAACTCACGATGCCCACGAAAAGGAACGAATCTATGATATGAAATGGATAAGATCAGGACCTCGGCGGGAGTGGCGGAAGGTGAGGTTAGAAACGAGTGGCCAAGGAAGACATGGAAGCAGGGGGCGTTTCGAGACTTAGCCGCGGAAAAAAAAAGAAAAACGTTGAAAAATCAAAAATTCAGTCGAAAGAAGTATAAGTACAAAAAATGACAACAGCTTTATTAGACATTGTATTCCATATAATATAATCGTTTATACGTACGTGCTTCTCGTTTAATTACGGGTCGACGAATGCCGGCCAGCGTCGGCGCCGGTCGACCGGTGAACGAACGATCGATTAATCGCTGCTTAATCGATCCGAATCCACGTCGTCGACGCTGCATGCCGGCGCACACTTCGTTTCTCTTTATTTTCCTTTTTTTTTTTTTTTTTTTTGTTTCCTATCTTGCGTGTTTTCTATTCTTTTTATACAATTTTTAATATGCGCTTCGTCCACTATTTTCTTTCTTTTTTTTTGTAAATTTTCTTTTACATATATATATATACATATATATGCGTGTGTGTGTATATATATATTTTTATTTTTATTTTAATTCTATTCCTTGCCCACGAGCGAGACCCAAAAAAATGTGTGACCTGACTTAGTGTTGTGGTAGAGTTGTTTCGTTTATTTAATTATCATTATTATTTATTAACAGGAACATCATCGAATCTTTGTTCGTTACATCGTCATCGTACGTTTCTACATTATTATCGTGATCATCACTATCAGCATTATTATCACCACCGGCGTTAATTGATCGTATCGGACAAGTAGCGTCGTAGTGTGTCAATCATCATTATTATCATTATATCAGCAGCATCGTTCATCATCATATCATCATCGTTTGTTCAGCAGCATCATCATCATCCATATAAATAAATAATTATCATCAACCGTGCGATAACAACACATAATCGTCATTTGTTCGTGCTTTCGTACTCGAAGTAGGCGAGAAATTTTCGAAAATATGTTTAAAAAACGTTTCTTTTTTTTTTCAGATCAATCAACGAGTTTGGCAAAAATATGGATGAAAGGGGGAATTTGAAAGAAATGCGAACCGAAACACGACGCGAATGGAATTTAGAAAAGTTCACCGATTATCTATCGAATCATTAAGGATCATCGATTTCTCGCAGACTTCGATTTCGAAAACTTGGAATAACCCGTCCCGTCGTCTGCACGCCGTTGACGACAACGCCGGTTTCTCATTTACATATATATATTTTTATATATATATATACTTTATATATATTTTTCTTCTATCTATATATTTATATATTCATTTATTTATTCATTTTATTTATCTGTATTTATACATATCGCGAGTAATGTTTCAATGTTGTATGATGTGCCACATCATCGGAGGCGCACGCGGATACGAAAAGGTTTCGAAAGTTGGGCGAAGGAAAGCCGATGGATCGAACGAATGTCCCTAGAAAGTTACCAGATTACTTAAGCATCGCCTAATGTTCAATTCAACGACTTCAACGAACCAACGAACCAATTGCGTTTAAAAGGTAATTTTTCTCACGTTTTCCGATACAAGATATTCCCCATAAGCTTTCCTGTTCCCATTGCCGAGAAACGTTAATTTTTTTCTTCTTTTTTTTTTTTTCTTTTACAAAAACGCGGTTGAAAATTCTCTTATTCGATCATATGGCTGGTTTCGAGCGTGAATTTTGATTTTAGTCACATTCCACGATTGGGGGCGCTGTACGCGGCACAGAGGAGACGAAATAAAGGGCTCCGTCCAAGGAATTGTCACGACTTCCGGATCGGGTAAGGTGCGTATCCGCCTTAAAGGGACGAAAATCAAATTCCTTCGATTTCTCGCCCCTTTAACGTTGTTACCGATGGTTCGATGTTAAGAACGACCGATCGATCGATTTCAGGGCTCGACACACCCGGCAAATCGGGCTTGCCATAGGGAAATTCCGGGTTGCCGGGCAAATGGTGTTCGCCCCAACGTGTTCTCCGTCATACACACGATTACCACACATAGTCGCGACCCAGAAGTTGTACCCTCGAGTGTCTCTCGTTTCAGGTCCGCGTGACATCGTCCCGAAAGAAACGCGAAAAAAAGGGGGGAAAAAAAAAAGGAGGGAAAGAAAGAAAAATATCTGGTCGATCGTCGAAAAAAACAGCGTAATCCAAAAGGCTAAAAAGGGGGGAAAAAACCGAGGAAAAAATAAAAAAATCTCACGAAGGGGCGACATCGTTTGAATCCTAATTCGTCGTAAACTTTCTCGCTCGTAACTATATACGCACGGTACATACAAACGCTCTCCTCTCTCTGGTCGTTACTCTGCTTCGTACTCTCTCACAGACTTGCTCGCAAGTGAACAGATGGACGCACATACATATACATGTACATTTACATATATATACATATTACATATTACGAGAAAACACGCGTACCGACACAGACATACTCTCGATGCATGCACGCTATATCGCTATCGGTCGCGAACACACACACGGGAAACATACGTACATACACACGCAGAAACACACATGCGCGTACAGATAGAACCGCATACATACACACACATAGTTGTGTACACGCAAAAGTAAGTATTCTCGCGAACGCATCTCTCGTTAGCCATGAAGAAAGAGAGACAGAGAGAGAGAAAGAGAGAGAGAGAGAGAGAAAGAGAGAGAGGGAGAGTGAGAGAGAAAAGTCTTCAGTCACGCGATTCAAAAAAGAACAGAAAAGTGAGAGATGGAAAGAGACAGAGAGTAAGAGAGTGAGAAAAAAAAATAGAAGTAATGGAGAACTATCGGAACAATGATAATGGGATACGATAGAATAATATTAATAATAATAATTAGAATAATAATATTAATAATAATAATAATAGCAAATAGTAATAATAGTAAATAACAATAATAATAAATTAGTTCTGTACAAAGTTTCGCTTCGAACATGATATATAATATTAATACCTAAGAACGGGTCGGACGACGATATTCGCCATCGTCCGCCTCCACAGCATTTCGTATATATATACTTTTATATATATATATATATAATATGTATATTTCATTTTGCTCCCCTGCTGTAGAACTCCTCGCGTAAGTCTCTTCCTCTTCGTCTTCATAGTCTTCGTAGTCTTCATCTTCTTCATCTTCCGTTTCTTTCGCAGAGGACAGAGGCGAGGCTTCCACACGCTCCCGGTCTCCTCATCGCCAACGTCGACGAGAGGATCGTCCGCGAGATCGTGTTGCGGAACGTACACGCGAGAGTCAACTTCTTTCTCGCTAGCAACAACAGCAGCAGCAGCAGCAGCAACAACAACAGCAACAGCAACACGAGCAGCCACCCCGCCACTACTGCCGCCGCAGCCACCACCGTCGTCGACATCATCATCTCCGGTCGCCGTTGTCGTCATCGTCATCGTCGTGGTCGTGGCAAAGTCCGGTGGAACGTTCTCACGCGCGACGTCCTGCGCAACGGGAGGGAGAGAAACAAAGGAATCGCGAAGAAACGCACGCCCGTTCACCCGCTGGCCCATAACGGAGAGCCAAGCGCGCCGCACCACACGCTGATGACCGTGTACTCGTAGTGTACGTGTGTATGCACAAAAGGGACTCGTATGCGTGTTTCTCTGTCGCGTCGGCTGGTGTGGTTGCGCACGGACGGTGTGCGACGACGAACGAATGTAACACAGAGAGAAACAAGAGTTTTTCTGGCGCGTGTGAGTCGCACGCGGGGGCACGCACAGCTTTTTCGGTGATACGAGGAAGAAAAAGGTTCGTTTACGAATCAGAGTCCATGGATCGACTGGCTCTCTCTCTATACTATTACGATAACAGTTGGACACACGTTAGGAGGAAGAAAAACTACACTTCCGTCGCGAGCGTCGCCGCGAGCGACGTGTCGTGCCTATAGTGATCCTCTATAACGTAGACCCCACAGCCGGTCTCGGTAACGCCGCCGCCGCTTCCCGGTGGACCGTTGCCTCCTTCCGTGATGGTGGTCGGCCTCTTGAGCAACGCCGCCTCCGCCGCGCAACAGCTGTCCGTCGTCGCGTTAGCCGCGAACACCGACGACCTCTTGGCACTCTCGATCACGCCGACACCGACGCCTATGCCGAGACCAAGACCGAGACAATCCTTCTCCTTTTGGAAGAGGTGGGACGCCCTATGCGCGGCCGCCTCCGTGTTCAGTTGCTTCGTTGTCCGCGTTCGGCCGTCCTGTAGCACTGGTTCTGGCTTGTAACCCGAGCAAGAGCTATCCAGCGTGACGTCCGTTTGAAACGACGAGTCGAGGTCGTCCTGTCTGGCGGACGCGGCGTTGTTCACGCTCTTGTTCGCCGTCCATGTGTTCTTGATCATGTGGGCATCCCCGGTTCCTAGGGTGCACACGCTGCCGCCTCCGCCGCCGCTGATCATGCCGCTTCCGCCGCCGCCTAACAGGCCAACGTTACCGATACCGACACCGGTGCTTCCAGCAGACCCGACTCCTCCGCCGCCACCGACGCCACCCATCACACCGCCGCTTCGTTTGCTCATACTGCTGTGAACAGCGTTTCGTTCGTTCTGTAGTCTGGCCTCTTCGTCAGCCTTAGCCTGTTCCCTCTTCTGCCGCCTCTTCATACACATCACGGCGACCGCCGCGACCAGGACGAACGCTGGCACAGCTGTTGACAGAGTAGCAATCACCACGACGTGTTCCGTGGTCAAGCCAGCGTCTCTTGGTTCCGCGGAAGCGGACGCGACATGCCTGGACAGATTGCCCGACCAATAACTAGCCCCGGACGGTGGTACTGCTGGAACAGCAGCTGCGGTGTTGGACGGAACCGGCAAGATGGCTGTGCCGCTTCCTACCTCATCCGAGCAAGTGTCTCCGTGCCAACCCTCCGGGCACTGGCAAAGGAACCCGTTCACTCTGTTCAGACACGAGCCTCCGTTCCTGCAGGGCGCACTCCGGCACTCGTCCACGTCCACGCTACAGTCTTTGCCGGTGAAGCCAGGCTTGCACGCGCACCGATAATCATTCGTCCCGGAGATGCACCGACCACCGTTCGCGCACGGTTTCGTGAGGCAATAGTCCACCTTGTCCTGGCATAGTCGACCGACGAACCCAGGCACGCACTGGCAACGGAACTGATTGACTAGATCCACGCAGGTCCCACCGTTCAGACAGGGATCACCTTGGCAGTCGTCGATGTTGGTCTCGCAGCGTTCTCCGGTGAAACCTGCAGGACAAGAGCACCGGAAGCTGTTCCCCAGATCGGTACAGGTGCCGCCGTTGGAGCAGGGTCTCGGGGAACACTGGTCGAGCTGGGATTCGCAGTCGTTGCCCGTGTAACCGGGTGGACAACGGCACACGTAGCCGTGAAGAGAGTCGTCCTCGCAGGTGGCTCCGTGATGGCAGGGAGAATCTCGACAGGATCTCGAGCTGATCTCGCAGTGTCTACCCCGCCAACCGGGTGGACAGGTGCAACGATAATGCTGCTGCCTGGTGGACGAGGACGAGGACGAGGACGAGTCTATGGACCCTTTGGGTAGACCTAGAGCGGTGGCCTGGCTAGAATTGCCATAGGACGTCTCCATGGTGCATGATCCACCGTTCAGGCAGGGGTTCGACTCGCAGTCCAAAAGCGGCTTCTCGCAGTTAGTGCCGTTGAAGCCTGGCGCGCACGAGCAGGTGTACAAACCCTGGCCGTTAAAGGTGTTAAAGCAGGTGCCGCTGTTCAAGCAGGGCTTGTGATTCGTGCAGTAGTTCAGGTCCTGGTTGCAGAACAGCCCGCCCCAGCCTTCGTCGCAGATGCACTCCCAGGGTCTTTGGCAGGTACCGTGAAGGCAGCCTGGATATCTCTCGCACTGGTCACAGTATGCTCCCTGCCAGCCACGGTGGCATCTGGAATCGAGACAAGAGAGGATGTTGCTCGTTAGCCTGATCGTTTGCTGCTTTTCTTCCACGTTCGACGAAGACGGGGAGAAAGTAACATCATGGCACACGGGGAACGCGAGCTTTCCTTTTGCATCGACTATAGAAGGAGAAACTTATAGAGGACGAGGAAAAGTGTGTCGTTGCGATTCGCTTTCGGTGAATTAATTATCCGATAATTTCATCTACTCCAACATACTCCAAACGAGATACCCGTAACTCTGCTCGTGTACACATGGTCTAATCTTTTTGGCTTGCAGGTCGGGCTAGCGCTTCCCTTGGCAACCGTGATTAGAATCCCCCGACTCTTGGCCGAAGACGAATGTCAAAGACCTCGTTAAACGCGTATGAAAAATGATGGAACGCGATAGAGGACGCGCAATAAAGAGGAGGAGATGGGACGAGGAGGAATCCCCGTTTCCAGGTAACCGAGCTTTATACCGGGTGACTCTATAGGAGCATCGCTCTACGCCTCTCCACATGCTCACCGGTGGCGGAGGTGTAACGAGTAGTAGACTCTAATTACTTCGATCGTTAAATACTAATCGATCCTCGCGGGGAAGTAATTTCAGGGAATGCGATAAAAATAGGATGCTGCGCGGGGTCATCGTCTATCTCTCGTGGCCGATAAAATTAATCGCACTTCCCACGGTATCGGTTATCGTTATACGCAAGTTCCGTTCTCTAACGAGCATCCGTCGCCAAGGCTTTACAGCGAATTCGTCGCCGAAACTTCGCTCCATTCATGATTCTTTCTCACCCCTAATCTCTTCTTCCTTTTTTCAGCTCACGCGTTCCGGGAAGAAACTCGAAAACGTAAGGTAAGAAAAGAAACGGCGGAACCGGGCAGAAAAAGAAAGGCAGCTCGCCGTGACAGAGGATACGCAAAAGGTGGGTAAAGGCCGTGGAGATGAAGAAGAAGAAGAAGAAGAAGAGGATGACGAAGAGGAAGGTGGAACGGAGCTGGATCCGCGACACAGGAGGGAGGGAAACGAGGAGGATATGGTGGTCGGCCATTACATCCAAAGGGGGTTAGACCAGCGTGGGAGTGACGAAGAGGTCCGGAGAAAAGATAGAGCTGAGAGTGGATCGGAGAGAGACGGATGAAAACGAAGAAAGAGACGAGCGTGCACACGTATGCGACACAGACGCGTGTACACCTTCCTCGCGCGCACAGGTATAGGTACAATACACGCAGGGGAAAGAAACAGAGAAAGAAAGAAAGAAGGAAAGGAAGAAAGAAAGAAAGGAGGGAAGAAGAGAGAAGCAAGGGGAAGAAATAGAATGAGCAGGAGGCAGGGAGAGACCAGTCGAAGGGGAGAGAGAGAGAGAGAGAGAGAGAAAGGGAGAGAGACGAAGCTCGAGGAAGGAGAAGGAAACGGAGAGAACCGGCAAGAGAAGGGAGGAAGAACCTTAGCCAAGAGAGACAGGAGAGGAGGTAGAATTCGAAGGAGAGTGGGGAGACGAGTCGTCGAGTTGTGTTCCCACGGTTCGAGCCTCGGCACAGCCGTTCAGTATGCGGGTCAAGGAAAGGTTACGCTCCTCTGTGTGTGCGCGCGCCTTGCTCTGCCCACTAATACCCATCCGCCTCTCTCTCTCTCTCTCTTTCTCTCTGTCTATATATATATATATATATGTGTATATATATATATATCGCTATATATCAGGACTTAGAGAGAAAGAGAGACACGGAGAGAGCCCCGTAGCCGTCGACGTCGCATGACTATACCATTAAATCCCATGTACACACCGAGAA